ATACTAGTAGCAAGTGCATTGCATGCCTTATGTATAGGATGATGCGCAATATTTTTTAAGTACTGATACAGTTTATAAAGTAGTTGAGGTAATTGATATTGTTAACAAAAAATTAAAATTGCTAAAAAGAATACAAAAAAAATATTTTTTTTATGAAATTATGGATATAATGTGAAAATGTTGAATAAACTGAATTTGATTACAATAATTTTTCTTTGTGAACAATACTCTTTTCATCTTCATTTATCGTACGCTCTCTCTGTATAATGAAAATTTTTATTTGTTAATGTTTGTATGAAGGGTTTAGAATTTCAACACATATTATATTGTTATAATAATTTATTTAATTTCATACAATAATAAGAATATATCGAAAAATAATTGAGAACTAAAGTATGAAAATGAGCAAAGATTATAAATGTGTATTGAAATTCTAATGGTGTGTACTTAATACAAACTTTAGTGAAAAAATAATTACCCTATCATTTGGTATTCCATTTTTATCTAAACTTAGGTATCATGAAAATTCATATGTAACTATGAATTAAAACAACTTTTAAATAAGGGTAAATATAACATAAAATAAAATTTTATCAAATTATATAATATCATTCTATATGCGTTAATTTCATTACATTACATTAAATATATTATTTAGTTGTTATGACCAATTTTCACTTATTAGTCATCAATATGGTGTCATATCTCCTAAAGTGGTAATTACATAAAACCAGAATTTTTAAGATCCAATTTCCAAAATAAGAAATAAAGTTTATTTATACAAAAATCAAATATTAATTCAAATATTTAATATTATTAATAACACCAAAATTCATCACAATCCATAATTAATTTCCCCTCTCATTTCTGTCTCTCTATATCTCTATACCTATCTTTCTCTCTCTTTCTCACGGTAGTCTATCGTCCATCTCTTTCGACTGTCGTGGCACAGCTATGTCTCTATCTCTTTTTTACGGCAATCGGCATCCCTCTCTCTACCCGTCGTGGCACAGCAGAACTATAGCTCCGATCTATTCAACTGCCCCGATCTACTTCTCTTGCAGCGGTACTATGCGACCATCAAGCACGGCGCAGCAACACTATCACGGTGGTGTGTGCAACGATGATGCTAATAGTGGTGGTGGTGTGGTGAGTGGAGATGGTGTGCAGAAGCGATGGTTTTGGGGTTTTGGGTTTCTTTATCCAATCTGCTTCGTCGGAGCTTTGGGGGTGCTTGCCAGTGAGGTGGGGTGCAAGGCGCTGCATTGCTGTTCGAAGCAGCGCCCCGACAGAGCCTCTATGCAGCAGTGTAGGATCGTGACACTCTTTCTCCGATTTGCATTGGGAGAGTTTTAGGTTAACGACACCGTGATTTATGAGTGCTTTAGGTTTTGGGCTAACGGCATTGTGATTGTAAATGGTAATGTTTCTTCCTCCGATCTGTTTGGGGTTTCTTTGGGTGTTGGTTATGATGATGTCGATAAGGTGGTAGTGCTGGTGGTTGTAGTGAGTTTTGGCAGTGGTCGTGCTGGCAATGTTGACTCTGGCTAAGGTGGTAGCGCGACGGCGCTAGAGATAACAGAGCGGATGGTAATTGTTAAAGGTATGGGTGCGGTGGTGCTGTGTAGTGGTGATTGTGTTCGGTGGTGCTGTGCGCAGTGGTGCAATGGTGACGTGTGGTGGTGGTGTGCGGTGCAGTGGTTGGTTTGATGGTGCTATGTTTGGTGGTTAGGTGCGACTGTGTGGTTGGGGTGCTGTGTTTTGTGGTTGGGTGCGGTGGTGGTGACTAGTGGCTAGGTATGGTTCTGCGACTTTGGTGTACAGTGATTGGGTGCAATGGTGACTAATAACGTTGGTTGTGGTGCTGGTGAGTTGGTAGTGGTTGTTAGATGCGATGGTGAGATGTTGGTGGCGATGGATCTTTCGAGGTGGTGGTGGATCTGGCGCGACAATGTGGTGGTATTTTTCTGCTATGTGTTGATTTGTTTGAGATGGTGTTGTTGCGGAGAGGCGGTGGCGGTGGTGTTGTTGGAGAGAGTGGTGAGATGAGGTGGTGGTCACAAATGTTGGTTGTGGTCACAAATTATTTGGTTGATTGTGATCATTAAATTGGTTAATTTGTAACCAATAAACAATATGTAATCAATGAAAAAGATAAATTGTGACTAAGAAATAATGTGTGATATAAAATATTGTTAATTTGTGACCGATAATTTGAAAATTTGTACTATCTGATAAGTTGTAACTTATAATATTTGTAATTCTCACCTTAAGCTCCTATGGAATAAACTAATAAATAAGTCATCCGTCACGCTTCAGTCATCATTTGAAGAAATCGTAATAGCTCACTGGTCTAGCTCCATGCTACGAAAATGTATCAGGGCTCAAGTGATTCACCGAAGCGACAAAGCGCATCAATTGAGCTATTTGCCGAAGTAGTAAAGTGATCGAGCGATGACAACCAGGAGGTGGGCGTGGAAGCAGCCATCCTTTGAAGATAGCGTAATAGCTCACTGGTCTAGCTCCATGGCACCGATAATGTAGCAGGGCTCAAGTGATTCACCGAAGCGACAATGGGCATCAATTGAGCTATTTGACGAAGTAGTGAAAAGGGATAGGAGGGGATGAATAGTGTTTGTGAATAACTATTTGTGTATTTGTGACCAACTATTTGGTTAATTTGTGTTCAATTATTTGTGTTGGTGGTGGGATTGAGGTGAGAGGGGGTGGAATGAAGAGTGTTTGTGACCAATTATTTGATTAATTTATTATTAATAAATAATATGCAATCGATAAAATTAATAACTTATGACCAATAAATAATATGCGATCTAAAAGAATGTGAAATTGCAACTAAATTTGTAATCTTGACTTACAATTTGTTAATTTATGATCAATTGACTAGATAATTTGTAACCAATAAACAAGTTGTGACATATAAAATATATGATTTGTAACAGAAAAATAATGCGTGATCAATTAGTTAGATAATTTGTGGTTGGTAATAAATTGTGACCTGTCTGACCGAAATGTTAGTGATTGTGACTACTACGTACCCGTGATTATATAGTATTGTAATCTCAACATATCTAATTAATAAAATATTTATTTAATTATGACTTGATTTTTGCAGTTTTAAAATTTATTTCTTAATTTTGAAATTGTATATTTTCACCACCTTAAATATGTAATGTTCCCTAGGGAAATAAACAATATGATCCCGTTCAGGAGTTGTGGTTTGGTTCATCTCTTCTAATTCTGCTATGAAATATCAATTTTGAGACGAAATTACAAGTTAAGATTTGAGCCAACGAAGTAAGCGAGTACCTGTATCCGTCCAAAGAAAAGCATACAATAAATTTAGGTGTGAATAGCTCAAATAGGGGACAAGAATCTCAATCTGCTAAGGAAATTAAGAAATGAAAAATGAAAAATGCAATGCACAAACCATATACATGTTGGGTATTGAAATATATTAAAACTTCAAATTACATATAGATGTCCGCTAAATCTTATTTTCAATTACACATTCTCTTAATAAAATAATTTTATATGTGAACATGAATTTTTTCTCTATTTATTAACCACACATTTTTCAAAAAATTACTATTAAAAAACTTATTTTAAATAAAAATGTGGCTCGAATATAACCTAAAATTTGTCTCTAGAGTTGAATAAAACTCTCGAATTGAATTAAATAGAAATCGGATCTGAACCCGAATCAAACCGAACAGGATTGAACCTTTCAGATCTTTTAAGTTAATTACCCGAACAAGAATCGAGAATCGATAGGGTTTTGTTCGGTTCTAGGTTCTAAACCAAAACTGAAGAATCAAATCTCTTTTTTTTTTTTTATTAAATAAGTCAAATTATTTTAATTTTTTTCTAAATAAATTTTCCAACTAATTAATTGAGCCCAAAATATCATTTTTCTGTCTTCAGTCCAAGTTCAACTTTGTAATTCGAATTTCAAACAATCAAAATCAAGTTGAGCATTTGCGTCTCTCTTCATCTTCCCCTTTTCTATACTCTATTAATTGAATTTCCTCTACTTTGATCAATGTAAGATTCATCTCATTCATTTTTAATATTTTTTGACGTCAACGTATAAACGTCATAATTTATAACTAATTGTCAAGATGTTTATTGTGAGCCAGTACATTTGCGGGTTTTCTTTTCTCTCAATAGATACTTTCCTTGACATGTTCTTTATTTTCACCAATTTTTTATTGAATATTTTCATTTTCCTTTTAGCATGCCTTTCATATTGAACATGTCATTCGTTGGATTAATATAATGTTGTTTTAAATATTAAAAAATTAAATTATAGTACGGGATCGAATCGAACAGAACTGAACGAAACTGAATTCGATTCCATAATTAAATTTAGACTCAAAGATTCTACTTTACCCAAAAAAATTGGTTCAATTCGATTATCTTTAGAACCAAATCGAATTGAATCGGATCACATCTAGCCATATTTGTCCTGTGATTCTCATTATGGAATTCAATATTCAACCGTCTTGGTTTTCTTCCCACTCCACTCCATGTATTTTTACCCTTTTCTATTATCAAGACGAGTTATAACTCTGTTAAAAAGGCAATTTTACAATAAAACAGATTGAATTTGAATTTAGACATGAGCAGAAAATGACTTGTCATTGGTAGTTGATGGAATTTAAAATATTATTGTACAAGAGTTGGTTGTCCCTTATTACACGTTAATTGAAAAGTTGGTCAAAGTCGACAACTTAGGAAGTTGGAGTCAGAATAGGACTCCTCTTTCTGACTTGCCTATAAACAAGACAACTAAACAATTGAAGATAGCCTCACAACCCATTTAAACCTACATTTCTCTCTATTACCAGTCCTATTCAACTGCACGTTCTCCGACGTGTTTTGCTTTTCTTTTCTTGATAACATTGCTGCTGCTGCCGCCTCAACTTGTCTTTTATTCAGCGTTTTTTGTTAAGAGGGAAAAGTTTTCTTTCTCAACAAATATGGAGAAGACAAACGCTGGTGTGGGAGATGGAAATGGAGGTGGAAACATTAAACTTCCCATTGGGTTCAGATTCCGTCCCACCGATGAAGAAGTGCTTCTTCATTACTTGATAAGAAAGATATACTCTTTGCCATTGCCGGCCACCGTCATTACTCAACTTGATGTTTTCAACTTCAATCCCTGGGACTTACCTGGTATGTAGTAATAACTTCATTTCGTTTACTTAATGCCATTACACACGTCTTCCCCATATTTTTCATTCATTGTACAAATCCCTCTATGTAATTAAGGTGATTTGAAGGAGAAGAGATATTTCTTCAGCAAGAGAAACAGGAATGTAATGAATAAATGCAGCAGTTTCAGTGCTGGCTTTGGTTACTGGAAAGCCACTGGCCAAGACAGCCAAATTGTGGCTCCTGGAACCAACCGAGTAATTGGAATGAAGAAATCCTTGGTCTTCTATGAAGGCAACTATTATCGTGGTCGTGGAATCAAAACTCAATGGGCTATGTATCAATATTGCATTCTGGCCTCTCTAATTACTCCACGCTTAACTCATCAGGTACACACACATAGACATATATATTCTGTAGTGACATGTGTGTGTTCTTATTTCATCGACTGTCTTCAACATTTTGTATATATATTCTTTGTAGAAACTAACGTTGGAAGTGGGAGATTGGGTCGTCTGCTGCATATACCAGCAGCAGGGGAAAAGGAAGGCCAAAAGTCTCGGTATCAATAACACAACAAAGAAACGTAGAAATTCCGAATGCATTAGTAGTATCATTTTAAGGATGGGAGAGGATACTGACATGGGTTCTTCTCAATGTTCTAGTGGGATCACTGAGATTTCTTGTGCTGATGACTTGTATCTGGAAGCAAGCAGTCATTAGATTAGGCCTATGAAAATCTCACTGTAACACATCTAATTGAGATTGAATATTACAACAGAGATATGGAACTTTGTCCTTTGAAGCTGTGAATTTACTTCTTGGTTTGCACAATGCACCAGCCTTGTTTGAATATTGGTTATGCCAAAGAATTGTTCGCTTGATTGTTTAAAAGTTACGGAAATTTTTTAATATTCAACTGTGTCATCCCTTTAATTGGTTCTACCTTTCTCTTTCCATTTACAATTTAGTGAATTACAGAGATAAAACAATCATTTTGACAGCAAAAAGTGGCATTATTGATTATTGCCAGCATCTGAAGGTTTCTTATTGGAAAGCAATTGATTTTTCTGAAGAAATAAAAGTGGATGCAAAGATTAGACAAAAAGAGAAGAATCCAAAGAAATTAAGAGGACAGAATTTTATGAATATTGTATTTGTCTATTTGATGAATATTATTGAGGAAATAATGTATTTTAAATGGTGATATGATAAGAAATATGTGGTTAAAAAGTAAAGAGAAGTTATTGATATGATAAAAAATATTATTTTATTGAAAAATGTGGTTGAAAATGAGCCCCTATTTGAGCTACATTATTTTTTTATTCTCATTCTTCTACTCATTTTCAACCACACATTCTTCAATAAAATAATATTTTTCATCACATCAATAACTTTTCTTTATTTTTCAACCACATATTCCTCATCACAACGTATTAAGGCCCTGTTTGAGCCACATTATATTTTTCATTCTCATTTTTTTATTCATTTTCAATCACACATGTTTTAATAAAATAATATTTTTTATCACATCAATAATTTTTCCTTATTTTTCAACCACATATTCCTCATCACATCACTTCAAAAAAATGCATTCTCTCATTTTAATGTGCACCAAACAAACTCTGAGTTATGAAATAATGTGTGTCAAACAGAGGCCGGAGGAATAAGTAATCATTTTCTTAATACATTCAAACTTCAAAATCTAGCCCTTGTTTGTAGGTCTGAACGTGGTTCAGTTTGAATTGAACCAAAACCGAATTATCAGGTATTTAGCAAACGAAATCGTAGGATTCAACTTTAATTATGGAGCCGTTCAAGCTCGGTTCTTGAGTTTCGTATAATAATTAATTTTTTTATATTTACAATAATGCTACATTAATTCGATTATGACTAATTTTGTCAATGAGCTAAGCTGAATCGAGCCCAACCTGGAAAAAAGAAAGTTCGGGCTCGATTCAAGTTTTCTTGGGCCCTAGGCGAGCCCGACCAAAAAAATGAGGCTCGCCCCGAGCCGGCCCGATTTTTTTTTTTTTTTTTGTAAAATCTACATTTTCTACTTAAAAAATTCAAAATTTGTACAGTTTATACGTGTTATAAATTAAATAAATTATAAAAGTTACAACCCTCCTCCTTTATCCTGGTTTGGGACCTGCCACAATTATCGTAGGCGGAGTTAAAATTGTACATAAATAAATTATTTCGTGTACAAATTTTTTTAAAAAAAATTAAAAA